AGACAGGGCCTAGGGACCGGAAAGCATCATGGGAAACTAAACAGCCAGCTCCTGGCCACTTAGGCTAATGGACGCTTCCTAATCACAGCAGCCTGGTAGAATGACAGCCGGGCTCCGACCTGCCTGTTGTTTGCTAGCCGTCTGACCTTGGCCATGGCGCCACCCACTCTGAGCCTCAACCTCTTCACCTGAAAAATATGGACAATCATGCCTCATACATATTGTTTGGTAAATTAAATAAAAAACCACATGTAACAGACAATCATTCCTTCATCCCTCTACCAGTGTCTATTGTCACCTGTGGTTACCAGTGGCTTGCACAGTGACTATATAGAGCAGGCTTTAATAAATGTCGGCCCCCCTTCCAGTCCTGGGCCAATTTGTTTTTAGAGTGAGTTTTTATGACTGCATTTTAACTGGAATAGACCTGGCGTTGCAGGGCTGAGCCTCCCACGTGTTGCTCTAGGAAGCCCTCACCCAGAAGGGTGTGGGAGCTGGAAGACTCCACTCTGGGACCTTTCTTGTTCTTGGCCTGGCAGCCTTGGTTATGTGCTTGGGTGTCAAGGAGCTTCTCTGATTACAAAATCAATGGGAAGCCGATGAAATTAAGGGAAGGTGTGGAATAACAAGAGGATAGCAAATTCTGACCCACTGAGTCACACGGTATCAGAAATAGGGTGACAATCCCTCATCCCTCATTATGCACAAGGGGAAACTGATACCCAGGGAGTGGGTGTGACTTGCCTGAAGCCACACAGTAAGTTAGCAACGGCCACTGAGATCGGGACACAGACTTTGGGACTTCAGTCCAGAGCATATCCTTTTTACCTGTAGACGTGGCTTTTATGATCAGCAAACTTGAAAGCAAAATTTTCTGTACATCATATACAGGGTAGATGACTGGAAACAGAATGCCACTGCCCAGTCAACTTTGTCCTTTATCAAGCACTACTTCACACTCTGCACACGAGAAGGCACCTGCTCAGAGGGGCCAGGAGAGGACTGGCATCAAGGAACAATGCCATTCTAATGTATTCATTCATCAACTTATCCATTCATTCCCCGAAACATTTATTAAGCATCTGTTATGTCCCAGGAACAATGCTACTTGTCTGACCTCGCTTCCTGGGCAAAGAGGAGGATGTGGAATTCTACCCAGGCTGGGGCTTCCAAGAGCTGGGGGCTGGGCATGGAGTTGTGGGGCTGGCCCTTGGCTTTGGGAGCAGGTTTAGGAAACCAGGAGGCTTGTTCCACTTGAGAGAGGGCTGTGAAGCAAGAGAAGAGGGAGGAATGCACCTCATTTAGAGCCGAGAGCCAGCTGCAGGGAGTCTGCGAATGTAGCACAGATTCGGGGAGGCCCAGAAAGGCTCCCAGAGGTCCCCAGAAGGGCCCTGCAGGAGAGCAGATGGCTGGAAGGGGACAGCCACGGGACCAGCATGGCTTTAATAACATTTATCAGCGCTAATAAGTGAGTTGGGTACTTTAGCACGGGTTAGACATACAGTGATGGTTTTTACTGTTCTGCTTAAAGGGAACGAGGGCAGGAGGAGCCCCCAGCCAAGGGATGCTACTGATCAGTGGTTCCCAACCCTTTTCCGTCTGTGCCCTAACACCGTTCACAGGCACAGCACCATCTCGTTAGTAACACACACCAAGCAGGAAAGAAGAATGGGAGGGGGTGATCGCAGCAAATGCTCACACATCTGAATCCTGGGTGGGGATGCGTATAGAGTTGGGGAAAATCTTCTAGAATCCATTCATCCTATCAATTTGTGTAAACAGTCACTCTCTTATTTGATTCCTTTCTCCTCTTTACCTAGCTTAATAATAATTCCCTTTTGGTTAATGATTATAATCCTTTCTTGCATAAAAGTTTAACTCTCTTGTCTTCACCCACCCTCATATTCACTTGACAAATCTAAATCCTTTTAAACCCAACTTTCATTCTACTTCCATATTTACCTACAAGGCTCTGGAAATTCTGCTACTATCCCCTTCCCCCAGGAACGTGCCTTCCTCCCTTGCTGAGACTCACAGCTGTGGACAGAAAGAGAGGACACCAAAAGCAGAGGAGGAGCGACAGGAGTCAGTCACAACGTTTATTGATCACTCACAGTGCGCAGAGCACAGGGCAAAGCACTAGACGGAAATACAGTGGCGGTTCAACAGCTACGGAAAGCCTCACAAAGGTCATATTTCATTTGAATGCAGGGGACACTGGTCAAGCCTATGAGACACGTGTAACCAAACCATAGAAATACACCCGTGCTCATTCAGCACTACATGTTTATTAAGTGAGATTACCATGGCAACTGGAGCATGAAAAGCCACTGAGACACAACAGCTTAATTAAAGAGCAAAGACACAACTCTCCATTCCAGTGCTTAAGTTCTAACTTGCCACTCTGGTGATGAGGGGAAGCTACTAGAAGACACCAGAAAATTCCAGAAAATTGATGACTTTTTCTTAATTCTAGTAGCCACTCTATTTCAAATTCAAATTAGTAATCTAATTTAGCATGATAGAAAGTTAACTCAATAAAGTACTAGAATAGCATTATTTTAAAAAAAATTTTTTAAGGCATAAAATCAGACTTTCCCAAAGGTCAGACACAGATTCTAAAAATTAATAGCTTTTTTATTCTTTCCAAAAAGAGCTTCTATATCTGAAAGACCGTCCAATAAATTTAGTGAACAAAGGCATTTTACTGCTCAACATCAGGGAAATTTTGTTTATATTTTTATGTGATTTTTAAATATTTTAAAGTAGGCTTGCAAGATAAAATGCAGATATATTTTAGTGCACAGCTTGAATGAATAAATGAATAGTGCACAGCAATGAATAAAAACTATTCATTGCTTACCTGAAATTATAATTTAGCTGGCATCTGTATTTTTATCAGCCAAATCTGGGAACCTTATTTTTACATTAACATACCTTTGGAACTTCCAGAGGTTCCCAATAACTGGGGAGAGGGGGCTAATATATCTTCATTTATATGCAAACACTGTCAGAGAGGAAGACTTATTCTTCTGGCAGGAAAAGTGTAGATAAGGTAGGACTTAATATTGGAGACATTTTTATTTCTTACACCTTTTATCATTACCATTGTAGCAGTGCACATTTCAGTCAGTTGAATCTTTAACCTTGAAATCTTTGACTGACATGGCTGGTGATAGCTAGTAAAATTATTAATAGATCACAGTGTGAGGAACAGTCTGCCTTGAAACGTCCCTTGTAATAAATAGTTATGCCCTCAATAATTTCTTCTCACCTAGCACAGGACCATTTCCCCACCTAAAAAACAATGGGACACTACTCACATCTTGTCAAATTATACATCAGTTACGCTATGTACCATCACCACTGGCCACTCTCCTTCCTTACCCCTGCCCTGCAGATTTGTTTGGACCATTGAAATCAGTGGCTGTTGTGTGCCACACACAGTGTCAGGCCTGGCTCAGTGGATGGCCATGCCCCATGAGAACAACAAAAGGCAAAGCTCACTTCTTCTCAGATGCTTAGAGGCATGAAGCTTGGACGTGGTTTTTTGTTTGTTTGTTTACTTCCCACATTAGCGTGTAAACTTGCTTCTTTCAAAAATGTCCATGTTAATTTATTTAATTTATCTAAGCAGAGAGGACAGTGTTGCTCTGAAAAAAGAAGCAAGTGCTAGTAGACTGGACTGACACATACTATTCTAGAAATGTGGTTCCTAGAATCTGAATGCACAGCTCATATCATCTTTGAGATTGCTACATAGAGGAGAGAGATTTCAACACTAATTTTGCAAACAAATGAAGTTCGCATAAAATTTTAACTGTTACGAAGGAATGTAAAATGATAATACTTGCTTAATTCCAACATCCATTAACTATTTTTTTTAAAAAAAAACACCAAAGAATATACATACATGCTTCATTTACACATATACATAAAATTAACCAATTATTAGCAGATACAAAGGTTGTATTTAAAGGCATAGACAGCTTTGATAATCAAAAGCTGTTTGTTAACTGAGTCCAAGTATGCCAGTTTTGATTCTAAGCCTGATTATACATGTTTCCACCCTTGGCCAGGTACATGTAACTTACAACTCCCCTTTGTACCTGGAGGTCCTTTCTGGAAAAGAAGAAGTGTAGAAGAATGGGAGAAATTGAGTGGAGGCAAAGGAGTCATATGGTTTAACATTGGCACACAAAGGAGAAATTAATAAGTAATATATATTATTAAAATAGAAATACTCCTATGTGCCTTTTGCCACTTAACATTCCTTACAATAAGATAGCATCCCATCCAGCTAGGTGCCTCATACTCTCTTTTCTTTTTAGAAATGTTAAGCCCCAAATTCCGTCTTTTAGACATTTCTTATGCTGTTCTGGTAATGACATAAGCTTCTATCTCTGAGAGTCCTTGACCAACCTCAAGCTGAAGAAATCAGGCGGTTCTCTCCCCCAGACAATGGTAAGACAGGGAGAGTTTGCTGTGTTCCCTCCGTGGTCACAATGAGGTGGGTGGCTACAGGGTACACGAGACAGAATGACAGACTCCCCGGGGGCCAGGCAATCACCACCAGACTGCATGAGCAGAAAAAGCAGAGCATAGAAACGGTGTGGGTGTGAGAGGCCACCATGGATGTTCTGGAACCTTCTAAAGCTCAGTAGGGTCCACGTCTTCATTCTCAACATGTGCTTGGCTGTCACATTTGCAGCGTGAGCCCTGTGGGACTCCTGCCACCGGCCTGCTGAGGTTTCTGTGACGGTGACCGTTACTGAAAATGTCCTGCCTTGCACTGCCTAGGTGGGGCCAAGTCCTGGCCCCAGCCCAGCGGAGCTTCCCCTCTGGAATCCAGACGAAGGATGCAGAGCAGGCGGTGAAGAGTTGGCACTGGAAGTGAAGCCTCCCTCCACCTCCTCCTCCTCTGCCCTCCGGCCCTGCCCCTCCCGGCGGCGGCTCGGGGCTCGGGGCTGGGGGCTGGGGCTCGGGGCTGGGGCTGGGGCTCGGGGCTCAGGGCGGCGCGGGGGCGCTGGAGCGGCTGTACGAGTACCTGGTCAACGAGGCCCCGGTGGTCCTGCCCTCCTCCTCCTCCCCTGCCTCTCCTCGGGCCCCCCGCGGCCCAGGGTGGGGGCAGCAGGGGAAGGTGGCCATGAAGCCGAGGCGGAAGCGCTTGTTCATGAAGCAGTAGATGATGGGGTTGACGCAGGAGGAGGTGTAGGAGAGGAGGAGGATGAAGGAGATGGGGGTCCCCGAGAGGCGGCGCTCGGCAGACGCGGTGTCGTAGGCCCGCCAGGCGTTGGCGCTGAAGATGGGCATCCAGCACAGGAAGAAGAGGACCACGATGACCATGAGCATGCGGATCACCCGCTTCTTGGCCATGAGGTTGGCGGCCGAGCTGCTGCTGCGGACGCGGCTGACCCTGCGCGTGGACACCTGCCGCAGCGCCAGCCTCCCCGGGCGCCCGGGCGCCTGCAGGTAGCAGCCGTCGCCGTCCTCGCACCTGCCGCTGCTGCCGGTGCTCGCTTTCCTCTCTGGGTGGGCGAGAGACGCCACTGACGGTTTGGGGTGGGCATGCCGGACGGAAGGCATGAAACCCCACCCCCCACCCCACCCCCGCCCCCCATGAGGAGGGCAGCCCAAACTTCAGTACGGGGCGGGCACCTTGGCCCTGCACGGACATGGGTAAGCCTGGATCTATACTAGTTCTCGCCTTCACACGAAAAGCTACTTAAAACGAATAAAATAGTACGTACGTATACTATATATGTATATACATATATATGTATATATATGTAGTATACATGTAGTATAACCTATAACAAAAATAATGGGCGTGCAGATTAAAAGGCAAACGTTGTTAAAGAATGAATGAATATTCATCCTCTTCTCCTTCCTTTCCTCAGCTCCGCAGGAAGAAGGTTCCTGCTTGCTTGGCAAGATTCCAGATTGCTTTTATTGTGAGGAATCTGGGTAATAATAATAATAATAAAAACAACACCAAGGAATTCAAATATGCCAGAGAGACTAAGTTATCTACACAGTAATGAGCTGAGTGAGGGGGTGGAGTGAAAAGGGAAAAGGTTATGGCAGCAAAGGTGTTGTGTGAGTTTTAGTGGATAGCGGGTTGTAAGGAACCGGGAAGGAGTGAGGCTTTGTGGAAACTGCGGTGTGAGAATGAAAGGGAGGAGGGAGGATGGGAAAGGAGTTAAAAAGCTGGACTGTAAGTTATACATCAAATCTCTTCCAGTCCCTCTGGAGAGACACGAACAGATGGGACCATGACACAAGTAGTTTTGGTTGCTGAAGGGTGTCCATTTGAATGTAACATTACAGAAAGTCCAGGACACATGGGCCCTCAGCTTATAATTGGGTTATGTATATATTATTTGATTCCACTCAGAAGGCTTTTGAAAGGAATTATTTCCCCATTTTACAGATGAGGAAATAGACTGGGTCTCATGCCTGCGCCTTATAACACAGAATCCCATAAGAATACTTTCAAATATCTCCAATACACATTATATACACTCTAAGGATATCTGTTTAAGTTATAGAAAACAAGTTTTTGAGCTCTTTGGGCATACATAAAGTTAAAAGATCGTTACCTGTAGCAGATTTCTTCTGGCTAGCCTCAAATTTTATTCCTTGGTAGAGTTCCAAAGAGATTAATCCATATGCCACCATCATCACAATTCCAGGAATAAGAAAGAGGATGAGTAACAGGAACGTGTGCCTAATAAAATTAAAAGAAATCCAATAACCAGCAACTCTGGGCCTTCAAACTCCAATGGGAAGGAATGAATAGAGTTCATCCTTAACTGGTCTGAGCAAACACATTAATTACTAATATTTAATATTCTTGGAAATTTCGTGTTTGAAGATTCAGTCATTATAAGTTGTTTTCTTTTCAGATGATCTCTGATGCAGGACTAGTTAAATTAGAAAAGTTTGGCATAATTCTGTGCTTATAACAAGTCTATGTATTAAAAATAATGAAAGCTTAAAGAAGAGAAAACTGAGGCTTAAAGAGATTAAATAACTTGTCCAAAGCCACACAGTTAATGGCAGAGGTGGAATTTGAACCTAAGCAATATAATTCTAGAACCATATGCTTTTAAGCGTCACAATATGTAACAACAGAATAATCAAATATTTAGGAAGAGATGATGGAAAACCTTCTTGGTTTTGTAAAACATGGCATTCTGGCTGTTTATGACCCATGAGCACTCAGAAATTTCCATGGGCATTCATTCTCTATGACCCTGTGAAGCTGGCACAGTGGCATAGCCGTTCTAGGGCCTGGTGAGTTACAGCTGTGCTTTCTCTAAACATGTTTGATTCCTGAGGAATCACAGCCTCCTCCTTTATGAGTCTGGCCCCTAAATCATTTTTGCAGTCTGGCATGTGTTAGGTTATACAATTAGGCCATAAAATTGTCACAGGCTCATGGTGGCTGGGCTATTTCTTATTTCATTTGGACATGTTTTGATAAGATTCCTTTTCAAGTCTTGCAAATAACTCTCTCGTTTGAAATATAATTCTTTTTATGCATGTGCTACTTCGATGAAATAAAAGGAAGAAGGCAAAGAAAGCAGAGATGATCTCAGTTTGGGGCTGTTTCTAAATGTCTAGTTCCCTGCTTCTAAAACATCCTTGGAATTAGTAAACTTAATACCCTGAATTTGTGTAGCCTTTTTAGAATGACATTTTTATATACATACTCTCCTTTGAACCCTATAGCCACACAACGAGATAGATTTAAAACATATCTATATTATTAACTCCTTGGAGAGATAAGGAACCAAAGCTCAAAGAGTTTATGAGAATTTGCCCAAGGTCACCCAACTAGTGAGCAAAGGAACCAATATTAGAATATTGCCTTTTATTTCTGGTAAATTGCTCTGGACAAGCACCAGAACTGCAGCTCTAAGAAAAACAACTTAGGATTTTGGACTCTCGGTTCCATCTTCAATTCTTTAGAAAATATAGCTCTCCAAGTCATCTTGTCTAAGCCCTAATTAGAGCATTTAGAAGCATAGTGACTAAGCACAAAGGTTCTGCCCCTTCTTAGGTTTTAGAGTTTGGGCAACTTAACTTTTCCAAATCTCAGTCTACTTACCTTTAAAATGGGCATAACAATAATACTTATCCTATAGTGTTTTGAGAGGATTAATTGATTAATATATATATATATATATATAGCTATAGCATTTAAAACAGAGCATGCCAGCTAAATGTTTGCTATCACTATTATTCTAGAATGAGGTCAGAATGACTCTACCCAAGAAGTTTCCAGGAAGCTTATCCTCTGACCACTCTGGGCAAGGCATTCCAGTTTTTCATAATATTGCACAATTATGTCAAGTTGTATTTAAAAAACTAAACACAGTGCAGCCTTACCAGGACTGCTGCATAACATCATTTGGCAGTAGAAAGCGGCACATGTTTGCAGTCTGGTTGTTATTTTTGGTAAAAGGCACCAAGCTGCTATAGATGGGGTATGGAGTCATGATGGTGAAGGAAAGGCCCCAGGTAGCAGCGATCACCTTCAAAGCGTGAGATTTTGTTTGCCAGACTCGGGACTGTAAGGGTTTGCAAATTGCACCATATCTCTCCAGAGATATGGCTACCAGATTAAAGGTGGACACGCTCACAGAAGTGCCTGGGAAAGGAACAAAGAAATTGGTTATGTTGACTCTGAAATCCAAAGTTTATTTGCACATTAGCTTAAGCATATCTGATCTGCACAGGTTTTATAGCAAAGGAAAATGCTCAGAGAGTAAAGAAATATTGTGTATGTATATTTTTAAAAGATGATTGATTCCTAGCTTTGTTCCAAAAAGGATTTAAAGGCAGTTAAAAAACTGTATTTACAAATGCATCTCATTGCCAATTTTTAGATAAGTTAATTGAGCTTTGATTGCAACCTAACTCCTGCTTAGGCTGAAGGTGTTCATTAATTAATAACCAAAGGGATGAAATGTGTTCCTAACCCACAGAAGAGGTTTTTGAAAAGCCTGAAGAAAAGCTCTAGTTTTGAGCATGATCTGCATAGTTAAATTGACCTTAAAAACCCCAGATTCTCAAGGACTCTGTGACCCTGGAAGGTCCTTGGGATCTGAGATGGAGGCATTAAGACTTTCTCTGAAAAATTCTAGTACACACTGTTCTTAAGAGTGAAACATTCTAAATTTCAAAAAACAGTTTGTTGAAAAAAATACATAGCAAAAAAGATGGAGGGGGGGGAAACCTTCCATACTGTAACTAAAGGTTTCTCTGCATGGGGGGCCTAGGGTCTTCCTTCTCATTCTGCTTTGCTTTTCTGTATGTTTTAGAGTGAGCGTGCATCACTATTATAGTGCGAAAGACATCAAATATGCCTCACTTGAAAACATATCAAAAAAGATTAATTTCCCCTAATTTTTGTATTATATATGCATGCTTATTATAATGACTTATGATCCCCTTAAAATTCCCTTTAGAAACCTTCAGCTATAAATTCTGTTAATTTTTCTGATCATCACTTACCATGATTTCTTAAACCTCAGAATTAATATAAATTTGTGATCCTTAGATTCTCACTGTGTTTACAGACATAAATTATTTCTCTGAAACTATATCCAAAAATGTCTTTTTTCTAGGGAGGCTAGCACTAGCTTTCCTTAGAGTCTTAAAGGAATCTATGACCCTAAAACCATTATCTAATAACTCATGCTATGGGGTAGGATTTGCTAAAGAGTTGATGACGTTTTAAGTCAAGAGCATAGCCCCAGACTCATAGAGTCAAATCTGTAAAATGGGCTCCCTGTAACTATAAACTCACTGTTAGGCAAGCATTCTTTTTCTTTTCTTTGTTGCTTTTTTTTTTTTTGCTATAAATTATTAGTTTAATGAATGTTAATTGTTATTAATATCATTGAGGAGACAGCAAAACTGAGAGGAGAATCCAAATTACTAGAATTAGAAATCCAACAAAATCCCTACAGTATTGTAAATACTTTCAGAATTATTTCTTTTTGGCATTAAAAATTCTTTTAATTGAGTTGAAATTCACACAACATAAAATTAACCATTTTAAACTTAATTCTGTGCCATTCACAACCATGCAAACCCTCATTTTAAATCTCATTTTGCATACTCTGGTTATGGTTCTCAAATAATATTACCATAAGATATATATGGATGGGTCTTGGGAGTCTAAAGCACTATGAAATGCTAGTTATTATTGCTTAATTATTTAACAATGAATGATCCTTTTCATTTGTAAGTTCTTTTCTTTTTTCTTTTTCTTTTTCTTTTTCTTTTTCTTTTCTTTCTTTCTTTCTTTCTTTTTTTTTTTTTGAGGACTTGAACACAGATTGACACATTCTTGGTAATTTGTCTGTGGCATGAGGGTCAGTAATTCATCATCATTTTGTCTGTGCTGAATCCTGCTTCCTCAATTGGGAAAAATAAAGACTTTGAAAGCTTTCCGGTCACTGAAGACTGCCTTAGCCCAACTCAGTTCTGCATATTTTACAAGGCTTGGATCAGAATAAAAAAGAATTCCCACCTCTTGCTCTCTCCCAAAAATTCTCAGAAAGGGCAAGGGAGAAAGCAATTTGGCAGACAGAGGAGACCGAGAAATATGTTTTTATTCTGCTTTAGGAGAACCACAGCAGTTGGCAAACAGAGCCAGAGTGCTTGCTTGCCGCCGTGGTGGCTGCTAATATGGGTTCGGATCCCAGCTCTCTTGCTTACCGCCTGTGTGTCTTTAGGCACATTATGACCCTCTCTGTGCTTCTGTTCCTCCGTGGTGAGACAGGAAAGGCTATTTACTCCATGGGGTGGTTGGGAGATAAAATAAGATCATGGAAGTAAAAGCGCTTAGTACGACATCTGGTGCACAAGAGTACTCAAAAAAATATGAGCTCTTGCAATTTTTGTTATTATCACCATTTTGATTGGCATGGGCAGAGAGCTGCACGTCTTGGCCAATCAGGGTCAGCCTAGTGACCTCACCGCCCCCAGGAGCAAGATCAATTCCTCATGTAAGGGGAGATCTCCCCCCCACCCCCAGATGGTTCCAGCTCTGAGGGGAGCAGGCTTGGAAGTGAATCCTGAGAAAAGAGTCTAGAACTGTGATGGAACTAGTCTTCCAAGAGCCCCCACCCCCTAAGAAAACAAGGGAACAACAGCAAGGAACCCTCCTCCACGACCTCACTATCCCCAGAAGTCACTCAAGTTGGGTGGAGATCAGGGTACCATCAACGGCGTCCAGAAAGGGATAGAACAGCTGGAAGTCACTTTTGAATCCTTCTTCCCTTGGAACAGCAGCGAGCAAAATCCACCTCCTCTGTGTTTCCATATTAACTTAGTTCACTCTTAGAAACGGACCTGTGGCGGGTGATGCCTGGGGACTGCCTTCTGGGGACGCGTGAGGACTGACTCGCGGTAAAGCCGCACCCATGTCCTGTCCTGCACGCAGCCCCGCACAGCCAGACGCCCTGCGTTAGCGCCCAGCAGGGCTCCCCCACCGTGGCCGGGCGGGGTCTGGGGCGGGTCACCAGCCGCCACTTACCCATGAAGTAGGTGGTGGTCTTGCACACCGCGCTCCCGAAGATGAAGTCCTTGAGCAGGTTGGGGATGAGGTTGAACGGCATGCAGAAGAGGCAGAGCATGAGGTCGCTGACAGCCAGGGAGAGCAGGAAGATGTTGGTGACGGTCCTCATCCTCTTGTTGCGAATCAGCACCGTGATGACCAGCGTGTTTCCGAGCACGCTGAGCAGGAATATCAGGGAGTACAGGAGAATCTGCACTGCCGGCCGCCACTCTGCGGGGATTGGCAGGCGCAGGCCGGAGGGACGAGGTTATGAGAGCAGAATGCTAACGCCTGCGTGAGGCTTCCTTCCCGCCCGTTCCCCCCAGGGGGTACATCACCGAACCCAACGCTCCTGCGCTCACTACATTTTACAGAAACAAACTGAAGAAAGCACAGAGTGAATCATTTGCTTTTTAAAAGGGTGGTTTGTGAAAGGACCACTCAGGGGAACCACTTTTTCTTAAGAACAAAGCTCAAGTGAACAGTGATCGCTTTCTTTCCTAGCTGCTAAGCATTATTTTGCATTAATCAATTCACACTGGGGTTCGCCCCAAGAAAAGGCAACTGCTATGTGGGGACAGCGCCTCTTCTGCGATGCTTGTAAGTTCAAGCTCAGACGCCGTACTCCCTCCTTGCTGCTCTCAGCTCTCCCTCCCACTGCCTTTGTCCCCCCAGGCCCTCTGCACGAGTGCCCACTCTACCCCGGGGAACAACATTTGACTCTGTTCTGCTTTCTGATCTCTCATCCAAACTTCTCAACATATGACTTTATCCAGCCTTGTCTCAAATGACTTTGTTATATTTTCTTTATCAGCCTTTGCCTTTGCTGATTTCGCCCGCAACTCAATAGTTTTCTGAATTAAAATAACAGTCTCTGACACCTACCTTTGGAAGGGTGGGGCTGATCCAAGCAGAAAAGGGTCTCATTTTCCAGCCCGAGTTCGCAGGGGGGAGCGATGTTGCTTCCATTCACAAGAAGGCTGTCGACCACGTCCATCCTCGCCTGCTGCTTTCCAGCAAGTGCCGGCGAGCTGGGGAATTGCTCACTCCCGGCTCATTCCTCTAATGACCGAGAGCCTCCCAAATGCAACCTGCCGCGGAGGGGCAGCGGGGGAGTGATTTGCAGGTGTGGGCTGTTTCAGCCATTCCTACAGGCGGCTGGAGTTCACCACACGGAGTCCAGCTGGGCCAGCATTTGCACTCCTGTTGTGGAGAAGGCAGCTAGTGCAAGCCAAGCCCGCTCCACCTTCCAGGCCCACCCCGCCCATTCCCGGGCCAGTCTTAGGGCCCTGAACACGGAGACAGTCTGGCTGCAAGTTAACCCTTCCCGGAGTGTGGCTGCTTTTATGCGCATACATGAGTCCACGTGCATAGACACACACACATGCTTCCCCAGTGCCTCTCTTCTCTGTATAGGAACCTGTCGCCAACCCTGACATATGCAGAAGAAAGCCCAAACTGGCTGCGTGAGACAGGGACAATTAACACAGTAACAGATACGATAATGCAGACCATCAGGCCTAAAGGACGTGGAGAGACTGTGTTTCTCCCTCCTTATATAAAAGCAATTAGTGCCTTTTTAGCTTTGGAACCATGCCCAGCAATGTGTGTGGATATAACTGCAGGGTGGTTGTTAAGTTGTTACTAACCACAGTGCTATTTCTTGTGGTCTCTGCCCTTGTTAACTAGGAGGAAGGGAGCACTTTTGAATATAGGTTCCAGAGTCCTTTTCACAAAAGAAGTTAGTAAGATTTCCCGTTCACTCATGTATTCATTCATCCATTCATTCAGCACAGGTTTATTGAGAGTCAGCCGTTTGCTGGATATTAATACTTTGCTAGCCTGTCGGCAAATAACCAGCAAAATCTTTTCAGGTAGTGTTAAGTGCCACAGAGGAAGAAGAGCAGGGAGATGTGATGGGGAGGAATGGATCGGGGGTGCTAATTTAGAGTGGTCAGGAGGGGCTTCCTCAAGGAGGAGACTGTGATCTCAGGTCTGGATGACAAGAAGGAGGAAGCCTGATGGAGATTGGAGGACAGCTTCTTCCAGGCAGAAGGAGTACGTAGTACTTTCAGCAGACGTCACAGCAAGTGCAAAGGCCCTGAGGTGGGAATGAGCTTGGTCCATTTGAGGTACAGATAGACAAAAGCAGGAACGGGTGAGGGGCAGACAGCAGGAGGGAGGTTAGAGAAGGGGACCAGCTTGGGGGTGTGGGCTTTCCATGAAGCCCTGTGCTGCTGTCCCTCAACACTCATTGCATAGCTAGTCCCCTTAGTACAGACCCTTCGAAAAGCAGATGGCAGCCATGGAAGCTGTGTTTCTGACGCATTGCTTGTCTGAGCTGAGACTTGGTCTCTTTGTTGGATACCCCTGGGGCTCCCTGTGCCCTGGCAGTGCTCCCATTAACAGAGCGACATGCTACATCTTTGCTGAGTCCCTGCTGCACAGAGGTGAACTAGTTGGCATTTTTACTGTCAATGTGGGGCTGGGAAAACAGTGGTATCTCTTTTCCTTGAAACCATGAACACCTCATGCTTGGGGCACTTAGTCACAGAAACTAGAAGTGGAAGGGATATTGGAGAAGCTATAGGCAGTTATTAGGAGGACAGGCTTTGGCGTCAGACAGAGGCAGGATCAAATCCTGTCTTCATTGGTCACCTGCTGGCAAATGCCCAGTGAGTTTCTTAGCCTCTCTGACGCTCATTTTCTTCATCAAGATGACTTCACAAATATTTGCTATAAAAATCACCTAATTGACTCCAGACGGTGTCTGACACACAAAAAGTGTTCAATAAATCACAGATGGTATTAATGGCCTTCCAATAATGCTTCCTATTTTCCTTTTACAAATGAGGAGACTGAGGTTCAGAGTGGCTGCATGATTTGCTGGTGAGAACCAGTGGCGATGTCCCCACGAGGACCCTGCACCCCCCAAGCGCACTCCAGTTCCTGCAGCTTGGAGCTTTTCGTCATTATTCTAGTATCTTGTAGCCCATTTGGACCCAGGGTTCCTGTCTCTCCTCCTTCCTCCTGCCACACATCCTTTTAGCTGAGTCTTCCCTGCCTCCAGACTATGAGCTCTGCCCACTGGGCGCTGACCCTGAACAGCAGTGTACTGACGTGGAAAGGGAAAAGCGCCCAGGGTTTGAGCCCTGAGTGCAGTCAAATTCACCTCCCTGCCGCTGCCAGCAGGGGCTGCCTCAACTGGGCAGACGTCACCAGCCACGGGGGTGCCGCCTACCCAGGTTCATCGAGGTTCATCTGGTCTCTCAGCCACTGCTTCAACAGGTGGGGGCAGTGCTGCTGCAGGTCCACGGGCCAGGAGAGCAGAGGGCTGGGCCTCGGTCGACCTGCCCTGAACCAAAATGGAGCCCAGTTTGGGGCAAGTTCCTCTTTCCATCCCTCCCTCCCTCCTTCCTTCCTAGTCTGTTCTTTTTTTGCTCATTGGTTGGCAGGAAGGTGAGCATGGATGGTGAGGTGGGTGCTAGAGATTTTTTTGTGAACTCACAAGGAGGAGGGTAGCAAATTTGAGTTCTGTATTGCACAAACTTTAGGGCTCATCTGAATTACCTGGGTTCATGGTTTAAAAAATGGGCATTTCCAGACTCCCCTCCCAGAATTTCTTCAGTCCCAGGCCTGGAAACTGCATTTCAATCCAGCATCCCCAGGGATTTGGAGGCGACTGATCCCAGGATAACCTAAGCCCTGGGAGCCGTTAAGAGCGTGAGGGTAGGCGTCAGACTGCAGAAACCTAAGCCTGATCTTCACCCCTGGCCAGCTGTGGAATGTGAACAAATTACTTAATTTTTCTGAATCTCTGTTTGCTCGTGTGTAATAGGGATAAAATAATGCTACCTATAAACAAAACAATACACGGGGAGAGCTTAGAACAAGAACTGGAATATAGTATTGGATACTAAATGTTATTAGTAATGGATAAGATTAATTCTGGGGATGCTCTACTTATCCCATATTAATTCTAGGGATGCTCTATTTATCCCATACCACGGCCCCATTAAAGGTTTATATTTTCAGTACTCAAGCACAGTGCCCCACATATAATATGTGCTTGGTAAATATGAATGAATAAAGAGGGAAAAATTAGAGGAGCTAGTATTTCATTGCTTATTATACCCTTTTATAGCTCTATTACTTTGGTTTTTTTTTTTTTTCCCCTGGCTAACTAGATTTTTCAGTCTGGGTTTGCGAGCCTGTGTTCCATTAGGGTTCAACTAAACGGGAATTCCAATGGAAGATTCCAGTGCACTTTCAAGGGAGAAGCTGAGGCATCCCCAGAGCGTCAGCCCCGGTTGCATTCCTCAGCATGCACGCAGAGATGCCTTGCAAGTGCCAGGTGCTGTGCTAGGTGCCGGGGTCTCGTGAGCCAACTAGATGGAATCCCCTTTCCCATGGAATCCCAGTCCGCTGTGGGAGACAGGTGATTAGGAGACTGGGCAAAGTGGAAATGTCCTGTCACCTCAGAGCCCTGTCCTCTGATCAGGCACAGTTCCAGGTGAGCTGATACAAATCAACTAAATTCAGCTGGAACGGTTTCAGTGCCTCCCCTCTCTCTGAACACACAGTGCTGGACAGGGCAGAAGCCCAGTGACTCCCACCGTCCATGGAGCCCTTTCAGGCAGGGACTCTCTTCCCTGCCAAACCCCACCCCAGAAGGAGACAAAGATCATGAGCAACCTCAGTGGGTTCCTGGGTAATGAAATTATTAACTGTCCCCCAAACCATTCTCTGTCTTAAGAAACAGTTGTTCCAAAACACCTAAAAGATCAATATGTACTTTCCCCCTCATTATGACTTTAATCATATGCTCATTGCACATTTTTAAAAATAAAGACAAATAGGTATAAATGTAACACAAATCCATTTCAGGGCCCTGCATGATTTTTTCTCTGTGTGTTGTCACTTAATTCAGCCTAGAAGCCACAGGTAGTTACAGGCAATTTCATGTTATGGGAGATGCAATTTATAGGGAAGCCTGACATTTATAAAATTCTCTCTCTTCTCTGCAGTGTCCCCCAACACTCTGGTGCTCAGAACGTCACTCTCTAAAGTCTTCATTTCCCACTCTCTCGGCAAGCTCGCTCAGACTGCTGCCCACGAAGGTTTTCCGCTTTTCTTTCCTCTAACCACGTCAGCCTTCCTCCGGAAGTCACTGACTTAACGGGACTTCCCTCTCTCACCCCAGGGGTGGGAACCCCCGGCCTTGGGGCCACATGTGGCCTTCTGGATCCTCGAGCGCGGCTTCTGGATTGAATCCGGGGTTCACAGAACAAACCCTTTCCATCTGTGGGTGGGCTGAGGCTCTCCTGCACCCCTGGTCCCCACAGAGGGCAGCGTGAAACCCTGAAGTCCCTGCCCCATGGCCGCCTTCCTTGGAGAAGGCGCGGTGGACCCTTTCTGAGGAATAGCCCCCTCCCCCCCACGGGGGAGCCGGCGCCCATCTGCTTGAGGAGGCTGTCACTCAGCGTGCTGGGCTTCCCAGCTTCCCCTCTGGGCCTTCACGTCCTCACAGGCGAGCGCATTCCGGTGCTGACGCCACCTCAGAGGCTGCCGGGGCCCACTCGTCCCAGCGGGTATCAAGCACCCTGCAGAGTGGCTGTCCTGTTATAAGGGCTCAAGAAATGATAAGAACAAGCAAGAACTATGTTGGCAGGGACACAAAAAGCATGTTTCAATGCCACCGCCTAAGGGTAACCTTTGATAATAGTTTGGCGGGTATCCTGTCCGGCCTTTTCCTCCAAACACATTTTTTACAAAAACAAATTTGGAATAATACCCTATACACAGTATTCATTCTACTGTCCCTTTTGAAAATGTAATTTTAAGATAAAAATTTCCCTCAGAATGAGAAATATGGCTTTATGGGAAAATGTGGTTTTTAAAAAATTTAGATAAAAAAAGAAAGCAAAAAAAAAATCCATAACTTCATCATCCAGAGAATTAAAAAAAATCTTTTACATATGTGCTTTTTGTATATTTCTCTTTTTCACTTAGCATTACTGCATGACCATGTCTTAGTACTTCTCTGTAGTTTTATTTTTAGTTGATGTCTATTATTCCATCAAGAGTATATACTCGAATTTACTAAAATATTTCCATACAGTTGGGTATTGAGGTTTTATTTTCAGCTTTTTGTTTTTATAAGTGACAACGTGGTACATTTATGTACACATATTTTTGTGGCGTTTGAGGT